CTGTTGTTGAGACTCACTGAGTACAGTGGATGGTACTGACGTTCTCTTTTGGGAACCTACGTTAGTCTGCGGTACAACGTAGGAACCGGATTTGCAGGTGAGCAGACTACGAGTTAGGACTTCCTTCCCTTCCAGTGATATTGGTGAGCTCCGCTTTTGTTCGTGGAGTATTCTTAGAGTCATTTTCATTTAGCTATTTCTTTATTTATTTAGAGAACTGGCCAGGAAATCTCATGTCCTGAGCAGTGCGTCAATTTATCGGTAGAGGCTTCATAGACATAGTCATTGGATTGAAATTCATATGTTATTTTATAATAACTTAGCAATAATTCAGTAGTTACAATGAATAAAGTTTTGGAGTTGATTTATTTAAATATTTGAATTAATCAAGAGTATTTGGTTAGGGTATTGCTTCGTTGCATATAAAGTGTGAAGCTATAATACATTGAATAAGCAGAGATGGTTCGCTCGATCAGGTTTAGTGATCGAGTGCCGGTCTCGGCTTGTTTAGAAAATGGGTCGTGACAATTATTATCTTGCAGAATATGGATCAGGTGTAAGCGTATCCACTTTTGGAGATGTTTATAGCTATGGTATCATGTTGCTAGAGTTGTTCACTGGTAGAAGGCCGACCGATGTAGTATTCAAAGATGGCCTGAATATTCACCAATATGTCAAAACCACTTTGCCTAAACATGTTATGGAGATTGCTGATCCAGCATTGCTTTTAGCATATGAAGAAAACAGCAAAAATGAGGACAATGTGAGTGATTTGGAAGAAAAGGCAATACTTCAAGATGATGAGCACATTTCCCAGCTAAATGCCAGCACTATGATAGAAGGATGCTTGGTCTCAATCTTGAAAATTGGACTTTTATATTCTAGCTCATCGCCAAGAGATCGGATGCCAATAAGAATAGCTTTGGACAAGATTCATACAATCAAGAACTTGTATCTACAGTCTAAGGAGGAGAAACAATAGTATTAGATAGCTCAGATGGTAAATAAGCTAATCAAATTATCATCTTTAGAATTTTACTGATGGAGGCTAGTATGAAAGAAATGACAACTTTGAATTGGAGATCAATCCTTCTATGACTCACATCCAACTGCATCAAAATATTCAAAACCTTTTGAATAAGGTACGACAGTTTTATTCATTTTGCAGTTGCCAGAATGAAAAGATAAATTTGCAGCTAGTAAACACTATAGCCTCAAGTAATAACTGGTAAAAAGCAAGTCCTACCCTGTCGTTGCAAATGTTTTAATGAAGTTTGAATTGCAATGAAGAAATTAAGTATATTCACACACAATCACACCATAGAGCCTAGTCACTCAATGGCTGCTTACACTAGTTAATTTTCTAGTCTTGCATTTTTTCGACGCATTTGTATAATGATCTGTGCATTGAGGTAATCTCACATCTTTGGTCTCAACTCCAATTGAAAAGACAGTCTCACTCTATCACTCCAGGGACCAAATTTTCTCAGAGGCGTTGTGTCTTCCAGGTAAGGCTATCAACTAAAACTCCTCCAAGCTTGATGTTCGGCTATAATTCTATACTTTGTGACACTACTTATCTTACATATTGATGTAATAATGATAATTTGTGTAATGTTTGAGCTTACCTGAGTTGATTTTATGTGTAGGAACATTTGGGCATGAAGCGTGGAGAAGTTGCGCAAAGTGGTACCAAAAACAACGAAGTAGAGTACGACCAAGGCTGCAAAATTCCAACGAGTGAGGATACATTTACCCTTTCTAATCTAAGTTCCTTCATGTTACAGAAGAATACTAGTTAGCCTCTCGGACAGAACTGAAGCTTCGGCCTGAACGTCTGTTTTCACTTTAATGTCTGATAGCTATAGTAAGTTGGCAGATTTGGTTTACCAAATTAATGTCCTCACTAGTTACACTACTTACTGGTTGAATAACAGTTCTCTGTGCATCATACATTGTCAATTCCATTTGTGTTAAGCTCAGCATAAACTAAGCATTAGTTAAACAAATAAATGACTGAACCGATGAGTATATAAAATTTTCAATCTTCAACAGTAATATATCATATAAGAGCAGACAGAAAAGCTTGTGCAAGCATATACTAGTATGCATCACTGGCCTCGAGTTCTTCACCATAAATATATCAAGGTAGACGAAATGATGTAAAATTGTGCCAGTTGCTTGTGACAGAACGACTGGAAGAACCTTCAAATCTCAAGCTCCTGAACAAGAAGAAAAAGAGGATAAATTTGTTTCTGTTCAGAATAAGAGAAATACAATAGAAATCCATCAAGGAGGCTGTCTTAAGAATTTATCAAATATCTAGCAGTGAAACTGTGTGTTATGCACAAGTTTTTTAACTTTTCCTAGCAGATTTTAGAGTATGCTTTTATGGATATGCTAAACTGATAAACATCACTCAACTTAGTTAAAAAGAAGACTATTTTATGCAGATTTAACTCTAAATGATGTTTTTGAGAATCTTAACATTTTCTTTCGGAAAGCAATCAACTCTCAGTTTTGACAAATCACAGTTGAAAACAAAGTTAGTAGAACAAATTTACCCGCTGGTTGAGCTTTGAACTGCATGAGAAGCAAGGAGAATGTCTCTGATTAGTTGCAGTTCCTTGACAACATCACCAATATCTATCCTTTCTCTTGGAGATTCAACTGAACATTCAACTCCAATCTTTATTATCGAGATCAAGCATCCCCGTGCTTGTTTCACACTAGAATCATCTGGATCGATAATGCCTTCCTCTTCGTCTTGTACTTCTCTGCTGCTGCTGCTAGGTAGAAGCATAGGGTCAACTATTTCATCATTTATTTCAGGTAACGCCATCTTAGCAAAATTATGAAGAGTCAGTCCATCTTTGAACATGTTGTCAGTAGGTCTCTTTCCAGTAAACATCTCTAGCAAGAGAATCCCATAGCTGTAAACATCACCAAATGGAGAAGCCTTACCTCCCATGCTGTACTCTGCTCACATAAGAAAAGAGAAAAAGGGATTATGACATTTTCGGGTGGCCCTAAAAATAATAGCCGGAAAATGTATGTAGTTAAGTATAAATATACATACAGCATACATAGAGTATACATAAATATACATATTATATACATAATTAGCGGTGTATCTTTTCTATCTTTGGGCTAGCGCCCGTAATTAATTTCGGCGGACGGGCCAAAAATGAAAAAAGAGGAAACAAGGGAAGGAAAAAATGAAGCACCTTTGCAGAAGCACTTAAAAATTGTAAAAATCAATCTTAAAACTGTCTCTCATTTCAAGAAGATCAAGTATATAAACTACTTCGATACACCGTTTAACAAGAATCATAATAAAAGATATATTTCAACTTTGAAGAATCTAAAAACAGTGTTTAATGGAATCAGCAGGAAACTATCTAACTGATTAGACAATGTTACCTGGTGCAGTATATCCAATTGTCCCCCTCATTCCAATTGAACTACTCTGATTAGGACGATATTTGCTCATGGCTTCTGAGAAGAACTTTGCCAATCCAAAATCAGCTACATGTGCAGTCATGTCATTGTCGAGAAGGATGTTGTCCGGTTTCAGATCACAGTGCACGATTGGCTTGTGGCAATGGTGATGAAGATATTCCAGTGCACAAGCAGCATCAATAGCAATATTTAGTCTTTCGACTAGACCTAGGATCCTCACCTCATTATTTGAGGCATCGGCTTCTGGAGTAGGATGCAGCCAACTCTCCAAGCTCCCATTGGGCATGTACTCATACACCAAAGCTTTAAACGGATTACCTTCAAAATCACAAGTTGAACAGGCAGTATAAATCTTTACAAGATTTCGATGCCTAATGTTTCTCAGGGCCTCACACTCAGCTACGAAGCTCTTAAAAGCCCCTTGTTGGTCAATGTTTATCACTTTCACCGCAACCAATCTTTCACCAGGATCAAGTACCCCTTTGTAAACAGAACAAAAGCTACCATTCCCAATCAAATTAGCAGAAGAGAATCCATTTGTTGCTCTATATAAGCTCTCATAAGTAACCCTCAAAAGAAAACCTCCTGTAGGTGAAGATGTTAAAGACGACTCTTTCCTTGCCTTTCTTAACCGAAAGATTATGACTAAAGACATTATCAAGACCAGTGCTAGAAGACCAGAAAGAAGAGGGATCATTAGCTTAATACTGCTTGATTTATCTCTTCCCTTAGATTCAGTGTTTGGACATGTTGGCAACTTCAGTTCTGGTATACCTCCACAAAGATTCTTATTCCCAAATATGGAGATTGCAGTTGCATTACTGAAAACCCCTTCAGTCGGCAACTGACCCTCGAACTGGTTGAAAGACAAATTCAAGTTTTTTAGAGAAATCTGCTGCAGAAATCTTGGAATTTGGCCGGAGAAATTGTTGCGAGAAAGATCCAACTTCTCAAGACCTCTCAAAGAACTAAGAGACGAAGGAATTGTACCTTCAAAGAAGTTGCCACCTAAAATAAGGCTCTCCAAAGTTATACACCTACCTATGCTACTAGGAATTTTCCCCGACAACATGTTATTAGAAACATCCAATTTCCCAAGATTGTTTAGAGCTCCAATTTCCATCGATAGAGGACCAGACAATCGATTGTCAGAAAGATTAAGAGAAACTGTTAAGGACGACAAACTCATAACTCCATTTGGTATTATACCACTTAGATGATTCTGAGAAAGGTCTAAATCTTGCAAGTATTGAAAGTTACCAAAACTAAGGGGAATGTTACCAGTTAACTCATTCTTTTCAAGATGAAGTGAATATAATCGACTCATGTTAGATATAGAAGATGGAATACTTCCCGAAAGCTTGTTTTCAGATAAGTCAACTAACTGAAGCATACGAAGATCGCCAACAACTTCAGGAATGCTACCAGAAAAATTATTCTTTTGCAATTGCAATTCAGTCAAGTTAACAAGATTTCCTATTCCTGAATGAATACTTCCAAATAGTTGATTACCTCCCAATCTTAGTGACAGAAGATTTGTCGATAAATTTGCAATAGAATCAGGTAGCACACCTCCAAATTGGCAATCACTCAAATCCAGTACTTTCAAGTTTCTACATCTACTCAAAGAATTGAAAAAACTCAAATCATCAACTTTTCCATTTCCAATGGAATTTGAAGCAAGAATCAGCCACCAAAGATTCGACAAGCCCCCAAAGTCAATCGAAACTTTACCAGTGAAATTGCTGCCATTTGCATCAAGTTCAACAAGATTTGAAGCATTAGATAATGACTTAGGAAAGTGTCCAGTAAACCAATTATGACCAATATTTAGAACTTTTAAATTGGGAAGACTAAAACCCAAGTCTGATAGCAAAGTTCCATACAACTGATTATATGGAACTGTGAATATTTCAAGAGATGAAAGATTGAAAATCGCAGCAGGCACCAAACCAGATAGCTTATTTATACCCAAACCAAGAAAATTCAAACTCTTCAATTGGCCAAGAGAACTAGGAATAGTTCCATCAAAATTGTTAGCTGCTAAAGAAAGGGATTTGATTGAGGAAAGATTACCTAAAGTTTCTGGGATGAGTCCACTGAGGTTGTTGTAATGAACTTGGAATCTTTCAAGCTTTTGCAATGAACCAAACTGAAATGGAATATTTCCAATCAATTGGTTCCAACCAAAACGAAGCATAACAAGATTCGAACAATGAGAAAGATTCATCGGTATCTCTCCAGAAAATGAGTTATTAGTCAAATTAAGATGCTGAAGCCTGAACAAACCTCCAACCTGTGGTGGGATTTTTCCATGGAAATTGTTGAGCTCAAGATTAAGACCAGTGAGAAATGTAAGATTTCCTATATAAGGTGACAATGTACCTACTAAGTCAAGTGATGTCAAGTTAAGTTTAGTGACTCTTTTGTGAAGATGGCCACAAGTGATACCTGTCCAGCTACAGAAATGGACTGAATCATTCCATGTGGTCAAAATACCATAAGGGTCATTAGTTATCTCTGCTTTAATGGCAAGTAAGGCTTGAAAATCAGTTTCATTACCACTATGAAACTTCAAGGCAAAAGTGAACAAGCATGGTAAGAGAGTTAGATAGAAAACAAAAGAACAGAATGGCATTGGAATCTTGAATTGGAGAGAAGACACCATAGTTTCTAGCAGAAAAAACAGTTGTACAGACAATGCACTCAAGAATGAGGTAGCTAGCTGGTTTTTATTCTGTGCTTTTTTGGAGGGAATATCATGTGAAAGTTCCTTTTCTTTTCTTTTTATCCCTTTTCCTTAGTTATTTACTTAGCATTAATTATAAATATCTTTTCTTTTTCATTCTTGGACTGATAACAGAGAAAGATAATCCTTTCTACAAAAGGGTCCGGGAAGGACCGGACAACAAGGATCTATGCCCGCAGTCTTACCTTACATTCATGTAAGAAGTTGTTTCCACGGCTCGAACCCGTAATCTTCTGATCATATGACAGTAATTTTACAGTTTACGCCAAAACTCCCCTTCTAATCCTTTCGCATTAATATGCATTCTGGCTTAGCCATGATGCATTGGAAGTTTACATGCGTTTGTGCAAACAGAAAGTCAATGAAAATGGTCCTTTTTTCCTAATTTGAGTGCAGCAATTGCTGACCATTTCTAAATTCTGTTAAATTCTGTCCTCTCAAGTTATTGGTCAAAGTATTTCTATTATATGGCATACAAAGAGGACACATTGCACCATTCCATTTGAGATTATAGAGACAAGGAAGTTGCATTTTTTCTTTTCCTAGTATTCTACTTTCTCCTCTAGACATGAACTTATTTCCATAATAGTGTACCCCTAGTTGACCTGAAAAGCAAGCAACTTTGAGGTTAAAGGCTCATAGTAGCCTATATTATGCGTTGTAGATGCTATTTATACTCTAAGTTAACCATATTTTAGTGATGTTTTAAGTGCTAAATGATAATAAAATGCTCTAATTGAGGTTTTTATGCTTTGCAGGAGCTACTCCGAGTTAGTAGGAGGATATAGAGTATTTTGGGGTCAAATATGTAGATACAAGACCAATCGAGAAGAGTCCGGATGAAAACGAGCAAGATAAGGCGAAGAAAAATCTGGGCAATAGTCCATCGCGACCGCGGTAGGGCCGCGGCTGGAACGCGATGGAAAAAGGCGCAAAACAGAATAGTCTAAGACCGCGGTTGGCCCGCGACCGCGGTCGATCTGGAGAAGGCCGAGAAAGTCCAAGGGATAAAGTGTAAAGCGTGGAAATTTATCATATAAACTCAACAAACTCGCCCAAGTAAAAAAAAAAGCTTGTTTTTAGATTCGACATAAGGAGGCAAGAACATATTGGGAGCAAGGCGGAGAATTCTTCCACGAGTTTTTCACTTCCTTCTTTCTATTTCCATTATTGGTTATGAATTCTGGTATTGTATTTTTGCATACTATTATGAACAACTAATTCGTTTTCTAGGGTTTTGATGGAACCTTTTGTAGGATAAATACTTGTTATGTTTTTATACAATTGAGCCGTTGGATTGCTCTACTTGTTCAACTACGTGTTTGTAGCTGTTGATTGAATGACCATCAATTGAATTGACTGTGCCTATTTAGTGTGTACTGCTCGAGAGAGAGAGTACATATTTAGGTAGTTGTTGAACAACGTCACTCCTAACGTATGTGAGAAATCAATACAGCAGGTTTAAAGGCAGGTTTAGAAATAACAAAACCTTGACGTGATCATAATGAGCGGTTAGATAAAGCCAACTAGCATAGTTCGAGAGAATATGTCTAGTAAATTGTTGTAGTTGCTCGAGAGAATTACGGCACCTAAAGTGCTCACGATCAGTAGAGAATACATTGGCAAAATTGTAGGGAACATAGCTAGAAGGATTTCGACAATTGGGAAAATCATAACTCTAAACCTCCTTAATTTAGTCTCCAACCCTTTGTCTCGTTAGTTGATAATTTTACCACTTTCTAGCATTTGCTAGTTAATTAGTTAGAAATATAAATCTCAATCTTTATAATTTAGAAAATTGTTCAAACTTGTCTTTTTAGTGATATTAAACAGATATAGCTAAGCCTTAGTTCTCTGTGGGATTCGACTTCGGACTTTTAGACCGAATTATATTTGCAGTGACCGCTTATCCTTTTTAGGACTAGAGTTGGGCGTGACCAAAAGCCTCTAGAAAGGTCAAGCCTATTAGAGGTATGCTAATAGGAGTGTCAAATGGGCGGGTTGGGCTAATTTTGAGCGGGTCAAAATGGACCGAATCAAGAAATGGGCGGATCATTGACCCACCCAAAAGTTACTTGGGCTGAGTCAAGATGAGCTAAAATTTGGATCATAGCTCAACCCGCCCAACTATTACCAAGCTTTAATTAATGTTTATTTTTTTCTTATAAATTATTTAATTATCAAATAATTTTTTTTGTTGTGATCGTATATAACATATCAAACAAAAAAGAATTATTTTTAAGATATTTTAGCAAAATTAGACATGGATCAATCTGGACTAAAAATCAACCCAACTTTAGATGGATTGAGATGGACTGAGTTCAATAAATGGGCGGGTCAATGATCAACCCAACCTTGAGCGATTTGGGCAGATTAAATGGGTTTGGACTCAAATTGTCACCCATGTATGCTAGTATATATGACTAATAAAAAGGGTAATTTGAGTAAAGAATTGTGTAAAAACAAGAGAAAAACAAGTAATTGTAATAGTGAGATGGATTTTGTGAACTAAAATAAGGTTTAGACTCACATCAAATGGCAAGAAAGACTAAATATCTCTCTCCTTTCCTCTGCTCCCTGTTGTCACTTCTCTTTCATGATTTAGCTGTTTAGGTTGCTTTATTTTATCTTTTTAGAGATTTTGATCTAGTTATAGTTTAAACATGTTAAGGAAGCCGGGCCGGGGGGGGGGGGGGGGGGGGGGGGGAGAAGGAAGGTAAAAGGGAAAACAAGAAATTAAAGCCAAAGATAACAAAATAAACATGGAATTAAGTTACAGCCTGATGGTTGCAACCTTTACTTTAGCATTCCAATCCTATCAAAGAACTTTTCTGATTTTTCAACTCTCTCTTATACAATTAGGGAGAAAATTAGTTGGTAATCAAAATTAGTTACATGGTAGTGACTAGTGAAGTTAGTTGATACTATGGATGTATATGTAACCCATTTATAACAAACAATTTAAAAAAAGGCAAAGAATTGAAATCTGATCAAGAATCTAATTCTTTTTTGTCCTCTTTCCCTCTGATTCTCTCTCAAATTGAAGTGTCAATTTGTGTATTAAACTTTTGTGACTGATCCACTGGCTCCATTGGGGGTGCCCTACATAAATAGGTTTACAGAAAGAAACAAATAAGACAGTGAGTAAAACAGTGTTCATTAACTGGTATGTCAGCTCTAGTACAAAGGATAAACTAAAAAAAGTGACGAGTAATACGGATGTCGGAAAAAGTTTTTCGTGGAAAATGTTTTTCCAAGAAAATATTTTTTTGTAAAACAAATAGTAATCTTACTCATTTTCTAATGTTTGGTATACAAATTAAGGAAAATAATTTGTCACGAGTATTCATACATAATTTTGATACAATAAACATGAAGCCATAAATTTTCGAACCAACAACCTTCTGCACCCACAAATTTCATGAATTTCTGGACCGCTAAACTTTTAAACCTGTAAACTCTATAATTTCTAAACCTGCAAATTTTCAAACACATAAACCTCTAAACTCATAACTTTAGAACTCGTAAAATTTTGAACCTGCAAACTAAAAAATGAAAAAAACAGAACTGAAAAAAATATATTTTTTGCTGGAGGGGTGGGGGTGGCTGGGTGGTGCAGAAAAACGAAAAAATAAAAAACAAAAAATTGAAAATGCGGGAGGGGGGTTGTTTTTGCGGGGAGAGGGATTTGCAGGGTGGGTGATGACGGAAAAGTAAAAAAAAATCGAAATCTGAAAAGAAAAAAAAAACTTTTTGGAGAGAAGGGGCGGGAGAGGTGGGGTAGGGGAGAGAAGGGGGAGCGGGTTGGGGTTAGATGTGAGGGTATGTGAAGTTTTTGGAAAATATTTTCCTAACTTTTTCTAGGGAAGTCATTTTCCTTCAATTTCAGGAAAATGTGATATCAAAGAAAATATTTTCCAAACTATTTTGTGCAACCAAACAGTGGAAAATAAAAAATTTCGCCATACCAAACACACCCTGTATTACCACACCTCTAGACTCTAGTAAGAACCCTTTTTATAACTTGGAAAAGCAAAATGGAGTAATCTTGAATTGTGAAAAATTGGATTTGCTGGCTTCTGGGAATTGTGTAAAATTTATTGAAAGATTAATTCACAGTTACGAAATCTACTTTGTAGGTTTGATATTTTGTAGTATATTTAATTCATGTCTAGTTAAGATTTATGGTCAAAAAATAAATGGAGTGTTGTTAGCTATTTTATATGCGAAGAATAAAGTGCAGGTCTATGAGATCATTAAGAGATTTATTTTTTAACAAATTATTTTCTTCAAAACTTAATGATTTTGATGTGTGAATAAATTAGATCGAGTGTTTATACTAAATTAATGATACAAAACACGTGTCTTTCATATACTTATTTACGAATCACTTAATCATAGTCAAGTGATGTGCATGCTTATTCTAATTTATAATTGTTAAATTTATTAATTTAATGTAGGTATTTGGTGCAAATAAGGATTTACTCCAAACGATCTTTCGTTGTTATTTCCTTCTCTATTGTTTGAGAGGAAAGTAAGTGTTATAAAATAAAGACGGTAAAGTAAATAAATCGAATATAAATATAGAGAGAGATTGATATATTATTCAACTTCAAATTGATATACATAATGAACTGAAAACTCCTCTATTTATAAAAGAAAGGAAGCAGTTGCGAGGCTTTCCAGGAAGCAGCTGCAAGACTTTTCAGGAAGCAGTCGCGAGGCTTTTCTCGAGCTATTTGTAAGTTGTCTGCATGAGCTGCTCGCAACCTGCATGTTGCTGCAAACTATAGCATTGAGTTGCTTGCAACCTCTCTACATTAGTTGCTTGTAGATAAACTTCAATAGAGTACTAAACGGATAATCTTCTTCAGAAAGATTCTATAGCGGAATAATAAAAGGACATTCACAATATAATATTTTCATAACATTCCTCCTTGGATGTTCATTAAAAGATAATGTGCCTCGTTAAAATTTTACATCCACAATACAATATTTTCATAACACTCCCCCTTGGATGTTCATTAAAAAATAATGTACCTCATTAAAATCTTACTAGGAAAAACCTAGTGGAAAAAATCTTAGTGAAGGAAAAGAGTACACATATTTAGTAATACGCATTTCTAGCTGCCTCATTAAAAACTTACAAGAAAAATCCTATGGGAAAAAACTTAGTAAGGAAAAAAGGGTACAATGCGTATTTTACTCCCCCTGATGAAAACCTTGTTTCAAATATTTGAGTCTCTACATTCTAATCTTACATACTGTCATGACCCAAATCCACTAAAGGTCGTGATGGTACCTAACACCGCTGTCAGGAAAGCCAACAAT